CCAACTATTGACCAACTTTCAATCAAGTGTCGATCAAGATGTCGATCAAGTGTTAGCCCAGTGTTGACCAAATGAATGAATGAATGACTTAATCAACCAAGTAATAAATCAATCGAGATGTTGACTGAGTATGTCTTCAGTACACATGATGCAAGAAACTCACAATTGCAAGACTGTTACTGGTGCTCAAAAACTGGCTATTATGACTGGCAGATGATGTGATAGTGACTGGAAACTAGCTTACTCAGCTTAAGCTAAAGTAATTTACATGTAGGTTCTTTAGGACTCAGCGGGAAAATATATTAGTTAGGTATTTCCAGAAGTGTTTTTTTGTTGTGGGAAATACCCATTTTTAAATCAGCTAAACATGGGGCAGAAAAAGATGACTGTTTTATGATTTGAACTTCAGGGGCTAGTAATAAAACTGTGACGCAGTCTTAGTTGTTGGTTGCATTGTAAAAAGGCAGGGATTTTCTTTGTCCTTTCCATAGAGCATAAGCTTATAATGATACATGTTCCCTGCAATAAACAGGTCAACAATGCTGGTATAGTTCTCAAAGGAAGTATTGAAACCACTTCACTGGAAGACTTTGACAAAGTGATGAGGATCAACATGAGGTAGGACATTTCTTAATGTCTTCTAACCCTTGTGTTAGATTTTTACAATAATTTTTTTTTAATGTGTTACTATGTCACCCAAATTACAGGGCTGTCTTTTATCTGACATCACTGGCTGTGCCTTATCTGACGGAAACACAAGGTAAAGAAGTCACACACATGAATATGATATTATTATACTGTATCATTGATTGTTATAAAAATAATTTATCAGAAATACATTTTTTATTTATTGACTTTTGGTAACACTTGAACGTCTAAATCCAAGGGAAATCTGAAGAATTTGAAATAGGCCATGTCTTTGTACAAGCCAGTTACTGGCCAAGGAAAAGTAATTTATATAGTCAGGAAGCTACAATGCATAGTCATAGGTGTAAGGTAAAAAGAAAAGTCTGCATACGAGCCAAGTGGCCCATCAGGCCGGGGCTTATCCTGGTTTCTGTAGCATGAAGTGACTAGGAGTATTTCTACTCCCCCCTGGATGAGTTGCTAGGCCATCACAGGACTACCCCCCAGCATTGAATTCACTGGTACCATTTATACACCTGGGTGGAGAGAGGTATTGTGAGAGTAAAATGTCTCGCCCAAGAACACAACACAATGTCCCTAGCCAGAGCTCAAACCCGGACCACTTGATCTGGAGACAAGTGTACTAACCATGAGGCCACAACGCTTCCACAAAGCCAACATGAGGAAAAGTAATATCTATATATTCAGGAAGCTACAATATGTAGTCATAAGCATACTTGTTTCTGTTTCCATTTTTTGTATAACTAACATTATGTTATGTTTGCATGATTTTCCAAGGTTGTATTGTGAATGTCTCCAGTGTTAATGGAATGAGATCAGTAAGTTTATCAGATTAACAACATGCTTAGCTCAATTCATACTACCCCAAACAGCAAAGCTGCCAGTGGTCAATTTTAAATAATCTCCTAAGATTATCACAGAAGCATAATTTACAATAATTATCATGTATGAAACACATAGCTGACCACTGTTTTGTAAGTGTACATCTGGAATATGGATGTTAAGAAAAAGTTATATTCAATATGTATGGTATACAAGTATTTATGAATAATAATAATGGTCATATGACCTATGTTAAACTGTAATATCTAATTTAAAGAATTCCAGGATGGATAGATGATTGATGATGAAATAACATGAATGAAAAACTTAGTAAATTTGAAAAGTTTTGCTCAGAAAAAAAATTCACGTCTGCCATCCTGTTAATTTCATTATGCTTGTCATTTAGAGGTGTCCCCCAGCTGTGAGGTGTGTAAGATGCATGTATTGTAACTTTGTATCCATTCTTTCCACAATGCACTCATTGGGTCTCTTAATTACTGTCTAATAGTTTCCTGGAGTTCTTGCATACAACATGTCTAAAAGTGCCGTTGATCAACTCACAAGGTGCACTGCTTTAGGTGAGTGTGTCAGACAATTTTCATAAACCATATGCAGTAAGCTATGGTCTCCAATCGATTCATTCATTCAAACCTCTTCTATTTTGAACTGTTGTTTTCACAAAGGTAAAGTTGCATTTTTTGCTGTTGGGCTGTCAGAGAAACTCCCAAACCAAGTAACAAAATTTGCTGACATTTTACCGGTCTTTTTTTGCAAATTAGTAATGTTATAGCTACAGCTTAGTTATCTGGTTACAGTTTGTCTTTTCTCTTAAGAGTGGATATACCCTGGTACCATAGCAACCTAGAGAGTCCCTAGAGAGTGCAGAGAACTGCCCTTCAGAAAATTTAGGGTGTGTTCCTTCGGGGTGATCTGGATCAGGATCGGTGATCCAAGATCACTTGGATCATGGTGCATCAAAGGAACTGATGAATCCACTCTGGTCACGGATTTATCAGTTCCTTTGATGCACTATGATTTGAGTGATCTTGGATCACTGATCCTGATCCAGACCACCTCAAAGGAACACACCCTTAATAATCTAGGTTTACTCTTAGGTGATGCTTTGTTCTGCATTCTAAAGAGCGTTTGTGTGCAAGAACGACAGATTTTAAATATTTCCAGAGCATGGTGTGAAGCACTTCAGAACTTTGTTTAATTGACAGTTATCAGTAAACAAATGCAGCTGCATTTCAATTTACATGTAATTTGTCATTTGCCACTTCCATTGTGCAAAAATAATTCGTTAAGGGAAAAGAAACCTTTGCTTATTACGATAGCTTCGCTCAAATGTTTTCTTTCCGTTATATTTCAGAACTTGCTTCAAAAAATGTTCGCTGTAACTCTGTCAAGTAAGTTCCATCATGCCTCTAATACATTAAACCCAGTTATCAACATGTAAATTCTCCTTTAATTTATAATGGCTCATATACTGTGATAGCTAAGCCAAAACTGGATTGCCTAATCCAATGATGCAGTTTTTAATCATTCCTTTTCTTCACGCAGGAAAGCGACTTTTCCTTAGGGTTAGTAAAGTTGACTTTTCCGCGTGAAACAATTTGCTCACACTCAGACTAAATCATTTTAAGCTGATATGAACCTCGCTGCAATGCATCCTAGCTTGAGCTTTCGCGATCTCTCGGACATTTGTATTTTCCAAAGGGAATTGTCATCTTGTTGCCTCGTTGTTGTTGAGGTATTTGGGCGCACAATCAAGCAAAATACAGTGGTCTTAATAACGAGGTAGCCAAAAGGTGGGCTTCCACTGTATTTTTAGAGTTACGATATTGTGAGGCCAAGTTGCTGATGGCAAGGCTTAGCCATGTTACGGAACTAAAGTAATAGAGGACTTATTCCGTGTTAACGTAGCCCCATCTAAACA